GAGTAGAATTTGAAAATCTCGACAAAAAACGTTAGCGATGATTTCAACAATATTAAATACTTTCAGGATTTTAACACGCTACATTAAAATCTAGTATATGAAAATTCACAGATAAGAAACAAAAAAGAATCTGTAGAGAGTCATAATCGTCTAAGCCCAGGAAGAACATCGCATTTTTTGTTGTTTAATTTCCGTGTTTAATTAAAATGAAGTATTTGATTCATATGAGTATATCATTAAAATATGAGTATATCATTAAAATCTAGTATATGAAAATTCACAGATAAGAAACAAAAAGGAATCTTTAGAGATTCATAATCGTCTACGCCCAGGAAGAACATCGCTTTTTTTGTTTAATGTCCGTGTTTAATCTCGATAAGTACCCACAGCAGAGTTATGAAGCTGCTGTGTATCTTGCAAATGTGGAATAACCTGCACAAAGTTTTACAATCTCGTTTCAGCGACCGACAGAAGAATATACGATTTTGCCTGACGACTCCTTTTGAAGTTAATACCGCTGACAGAGACGTTCCTTTTCAAGGGAATCTCATTGAATTACTCAGTGATGAAGCATCCGAAGCAAGATGTAAAGATGGGAAACATGTAATTCGTAAACGTAATGACACCGCTAAGAAATATTCGCTACACTGGGAAATAGCAACATTCTACGTTATTGCTTTTACTCATATCTGACCTTGCAGAATCTGACCTTATCCGTGGGTCCAACCAAATAGGAAAAGCTCGTGACCGACATCACGTTGCTAGAGGAGCGGATCTTCGTCTTTTTATTACAGCAAAGGATTCAGATATTAAACAAAGAGCGGACCCATATTGGCCTTAGTGGAGGCACTTCGACGGTGCAGTGGTTAGCAAGCTTGTCTTCCTAGATAGATCGATTGAGTAGTGAGTTCGATCCTCACTGAGTGGCCCATAATTTCGACATTGTTCCACATCTAATACACTCTTAGAAAATAATCCTATTGGTCACAAGGATTGCATTGAATAAATTCGTAACATGTTTCTTTTTGATCTCATTGATAGTGTATTAGGAAAAGAATTGGTCGTTATGGGTTAAGTGACTTCTTTTATGTACGGCGTCCATTCATGAGATAAACGAGCATGACTCTCCCCAACATTCTATCTGTTGTGGCTCTTAGCATTTTCTTTCTCCGTTTGTTAATACTCTCGTCCAACGTTCAGCCATCTATTAATTCAAGCTCATCAGGTAAGAGGTAAGCTGCCTTTCCCTATCTCTGTTGTCCACAGTATTCCAAGTGAGTGTGAAGTGTTTTCTAAGAACTCCTTCCTTACTAAGTGCACAATGAATTTCAACTGTTATTTTTTTGACTCTGATTACAAAAAGACAAATAAATGACAGTAGTTAAGAACAAACTACTGTCATTTTCTGAAACTTCGTTGTTGCTTAGGTCCATAGAATTTTTGCTATCCTACTGTAGGACCCCATTTCTGCTTCCTCTGGTAGCGCTCAGTATGCTGCGTGTGGGTTAAGATTACCAAGATCTTCTTTCTTATCATCTAAACCCTGAAATTTCAGCCGTCTTTTCCTGATTCGGAAAATAAATGTTGTTTTGATTATCATTTTAATTTTCCGTTCAGCATCTGTCTATATTTCTGAGATGAAGTATTATGTACACTATTTACATTATTCAGACTATTGTATTGTCCGTTTCATCTTTGTATCTGTCATATTTATTACAACGTTTCGGCCTTTCATCTTATCTGTCTATATTTCGGCCTTTGAGATGAGTCTATTATCTACACTATTTACATTATTACATCGGACTATTGTCCTCATCTTTGTCTCCATATTTATTATAACGTTTCTGGCTATTTTCAGTATCTGTCTATATTTCTGAAATGAGGTATTATACACTATTTACATTATTTATTTCAACCTTTCAGTATCTGTCTATATTTCTGACTATGTACACTATTTACATCATTCGGACTATTGTCCTCATCTTTGTCTCCATATTTATTACAACGTTTCGGCCTTTCAGTATCTGTCTATATTTCTGAGATGAGATATTATTTACACTATTTACATTATTCGGACTATTGTCCTCATCTTTGTTGACATATTTTACGTTTTTACAACGTTTCACCGGACTATTTTCATCTTTGTCTCCATATTTATATTCTATATTCCTGAGATGAGATATTATTTTACACTATTTACATTATTCGGACATTATCTTCGGACTATTGTTTCATCAGTATTTTATATTCCTTATTTATTTACATTATTCGGACTATTTCATCGGCCTTATTTCTTCAAGGTAATTGGAATATCGAAATGAACCCTTTATTTCACTCATTGGAGTAGACTGTTCTAGTTCCACGTGCCATGTTTAATGGATGTCAGTTATCAGTTATCTCCTGTTAATTCAACTCTTCAAGTTCTCCACTACCTTAACCAGGTATTGAACCCAGAAGTCTTTGGGTCCTGTCAATGGATCTAACCAACGCTTTTATCCACTGTGCTATGTGTCCTTGAGGACACATGGCATAGTGGATAGTGCCGGGAGAACTTGGAAAGGTGAATTAACAAGAGATTACTGATAACTGACATCCATTTGACATGGCAGGTGGAACTAGAACAGTCTACCCCAGAGAGCGAAATAAAGGATTCAGTTCGACATTCCAATCACCTGAAGAAGGCCGGAACGTACAACTGCCGAAACGTTGTGATAAACATGGCAACAAAGATGAGGACCATAGTCCGAATAATTTAAATAGTGTACATAATGCTTCATCTCAGAAATATATATATATATATATATATATATATATATATATATATATATATATATATATATATATCAGGCAATTGCTATCTTTGTTTAAATTTTAAAACCTTCAAACGGCTATGAGGAATCGCTGAAATCAATTATAAATTAGAATTTGAAACTAAAAAGCAATAGTGTGAGAACCCCTTGCTGCGTTGTATGTCTTTTCTGGACTCTGACTATCAGTAAATCCTCATTGGGGATCTCATAACTGCATTCACAGTCTCAACGATATTGGGAAAATTGTATGCATCGTTTCTTGGAGTGAGCATGACTGGATGAGAGATAATGATGTTAGCATCCTTTCTACTTGGTGGATTGTCTCCCTGTCACGCAAGGGAATGTGGGAGGGGAATGTCTAGCAAAAATTCAAAGATCTTGAATTCTCCAAAAACGCAATCGAACAGCTGGTTTTGGCGCGTTCTTCAGTTTTATATCAAAACTTGAACAAAGACGATACATAATTGTCAGTATTCTCCCCTCGGTGTTAAATCCAACTTCACGCATATCGGATCGTCAAAGACCTTACCAGTATGGTAGGTTCTGGAATTATTTTTTACTACAAATATCATTTTGCCGGTTTCTGAGTGGCCTACATTGTTCTCGAAGAAAACAAGTCCATTCCACATCGTCAATAGAATTAGAATGGTGGTTCGAGAATTTACATCACTCTTTCGCACACACTATATAGTTGCTTATCCATCCAAATAGGAATATATTTCAGTTGAGTGAGGGTATCAGAGCAATCTGAGATCAGTAGTATGAAACTGTCATTTAAATCCACCATGCAAGAGCGAATCTAATCCGTAATCGAGTCAAAAGCCCTCGAGGCAAGTTTCATTTAAATCCACCACAGAAGACCGCTTCTATGCCATCCTCGAGTCAAATGTCTCGCCTAAATCCACCACCTATGAATGCATTTAAGACGTCCTTGAGGCAAAAGTCTCGCTTAAATCCACCACCCATTATTGCCTTTAAGACGTTCTTGAGACAAAAGTTTCGTTTAAATCGACCACCAAAGACAGCATCTAAGGCGACTTCGAAGTAAAATGTCTCGCTTAAATCCACCACATAAAATCGCATCAATACCGTCCTCGTCAGGCTTAAATCCACCACCAACACCGCATTTAATGCTTCCTCGGGGCAAAAGTCTTGTTTAAATCCAGCATATATGACTGCATCTAAGCCGTCCTCGAGGTAAAAATCTCGCTTAAATCCGTCACCCATGATGGCAGTTTATACCAACGGCTTGCCATACTTAATACTTCTCGTTTTCACTCTCGCATGGTCATGTGTGACGTCACGAGCTTTGACGCAATTTCCGCTTCCGCGTCTCGTATACATGTGTTTAGTCGTTGCTTTAAAACTTTTCATGCAAAAAAAAGAAAGAAAAAAAAGAAGACAAACAAACTATCATTATTGTTCCGTGTATTGGTTGATATATTGAAAAGTAATTGTCATCTTTGATAATGGCTTATATAAGCCGAAAGCTTAGATTGTATTTAAACATGTATCAATATGGTGATTTCCTTTCGTCCTTCAATGATAATGTTATTAAACTTATCAGACAATATAAAAGGAACTTACTTAAATTAAATAGAAAAAACTTCTCTATAATATTTACTGAAACATGCATCAATATATATATATATATATATATATATATATATATATATATTTCATATCTTTAAATGTTACAGATAATAAATCATTGCGTTTTTTATAAATTTTTCTTGTTCCCAAACCAAAGATTCACGCTAAACGGAAATCCTTGAATAAAAAGTTTAGGTCTTAATTCTGTCAGCCGTAGCATTCAGTTTTCAGATCTTTCTTGGTTTTCAGCAACAACAGTATTTTTTACTTCATGACTTGTCGACTATTTTAATCACTCTGTTCATCTATACTTGTTGTGTGATTCGGGATCAAGAAAAATCTTTTATGGACTATCAACCTTTTGCATGTTATTTAAAGCCAGAAAATATTTTTAGACATATGAACATTTTTCCGAGGTAATGGTGATTTACTGAAATAGGTCTTATTAATTAACCCATAGCTGGAGGGAGAAGAGGTGTATTCATACTTTTTCCAAGGGTATTTGCTCGTAAGTGAATATGACGAATCCCATTGTATTTGAAACTAGGGCCGGCAAATTCAAATTCCGTTATCCATTACACCAGCCGCACATCGAAGCTTACGGCACCTTCTATTCCCAAGTTGTCACCCATCTAGATATTAACCAGGCCCGACGTTGCTTAACTTCTGCCATCGTACGAGAACCGATTTTTTAACGTGATATGGCCATAAGCTATACCACCCACACATCCAAGCTGACAGCCCAGGGTATGACCAAGTGATCACCAATCTTAATAATGACTAGACTTGACGTTGCTTAACTTCGGTGATTTTTAGAAGAACTGATGTTTCAACGTTATACGGCCGTGATCCGTTACACTAAATAATGAAACTTGTATAAAAAGGCATTTCTGCCCAAATACACAATTATATATATATATATATATATAATATATATATATATATATATATATATATATGTGTGTGTATATATATATATATATATATATATATATATATATATATATATATATCGTAATTATACGACAATTTTGAAAAAGTTCTTGATATGTTAAGACAAAATAATGCAAAATAGAGAATTTTAAAATTATTTTATATATTTACCACACACACACACACACACACACACACATATATATATATATATATATATATATATATATATATGCGTGTGTGTAGAAACAGAATAATCAATAAAAATAATGTAGCTTACTTACAATTCGGGCTAAGCTAGCTAAATCTTAAAATGGCATTTTATATAAAGCTTGCGATAAACAATCACTGTTTCTAAATTTGTATATCATTATTTTATAGACAAATACGTAGATGTTTTTTTTTTTAGTCAAATCTTCCGTACCTCTTGCACTTGTTCATTATTTCTGTCCTCTGGTCCGTGCAGATTTCGTACTTTATAGTAATTTAATATTGTACGTTTATATGTTCGTGCGTGTGTGTGTGTGTGTTTGTGTGTGTGCGTTTGTGTGCGTGTGTTAGAAATATAAAATTATCTTTTGTCCTTTTGTTTACCGCCTAGTAGATGAACAAAAATAATTTTGCACTGATTATTAATTTAAAGCCACCTGAAGTAGAAATTCCTGATGAAAGCGAAAAATTTTGGAACGATATCATTTCCCAGTTTAATGCAGATTGTATCACTTTTGTTTCAAAAATCTAGCAAAATTTCCAGAAATCCAGCAAAATTTCCAGAAATCTAGCTAAATTTCCAGAAATCTAGCAAAATTTCCAAAAATCTTGCAAAATTTTCAGAAATCTAACAAAATTTCTAGAAATTAGCATATTTTCAAGATGATTTCAAATTAGTCGAAAAGTATGAAAATATTTTGATTACTTTGTATAGAATCATATTTATGTCAGTCTTATTGAATGAGTTTCTAGAATGCATGATTTCGGAAATCGATTGTTGAAGCTCATTTTTAATCCTGTAGCTTGTAATATATGCTGGAAAATCTCCAAGTGGTAATGGTTATACAAAAGCGTAGTAACTCTTTTCATCGTATAAAAAAGGCTGGCTACTCGTATCCGAGGATGCCCGTCTAATAGGGAGATTATCCAATCCCTGTTGCAGACGTCTGCTCAGACACATTTATGTTTGTCTAACACTCACAGAGCCTAATTGTAGTTTTTACTGAAACAATGGTGAGCGGACCTTAGTTACATTTTTTTTCTGGGCGAGAGTGCGTTCTCTAGCGTGATGAAAAGTCTGGACCAAGCCAGCACATTCAAGACCTCGGTCACGATGACTTGTGACTTCGTGTTAGCACAACAATCGACAGCTCCCCAAAGAGTTCCGTATACCCAGTTTCACTCACAAGCCTTGGGTCAAAGTATGGGTATGGTTTTTCAGACACATTCCGAAGTTGTCAGATCATGGGATCGAGTCCCTAAGACCAAGAACATCAAGAAGTTACCTTCCTGACAAGTCGACCATGGTGGGATTCCCACCCGGGTTTCATGGTCAGAAAGATAATGTTCTAACCCCTCAGCTACGTTTTCAGAAAAATATGTCCAATAGAGATCGTTCTTTTCAGGCGGTTTCCTTCTTAACCTTTTGATTAGAGTTGTGTGGACAGTCAACATCTTTATTAAGTCATGTTAAATCATGTCCAATCCAGTTTACCTGTTACAGTTAAAAGTTCTCAAGTAGTGTGGTTTTAGCTATTTTGTACAGTTCATTGTGAACCATAGGACCAAAGACTAGCTAAACAGTCGAACTCTCTGCCTTCGGGCGGAGAGGAACCAGGACGAGGCTCCGCCGAAGGGTAGAGTCTCGTTCCGGGAGGTTGACTGACCCTGAACCCGTTTATACGGGTTCGAAAGGGAATATTTTTGGCTCGGGGAACTCACGTTAAACCGGCCTTGTGCCTCGTGGGTGGGTAGCTAAATATATTAGCCCAAAGTCGTTTTTAACCATTGATCTGAGAAATCGGTTGTGTACAGCTAACATTTTAGATATTTCTGAATCCATATGTAAGTCTCGATCTGCTTGGGCAATTTTAGAACATCACTAGATATCTTACATTACTTTTTTGGTTTTGTAGCAATTTGATGTGTTGTGGAAAACTACCTCTAGCGCATCCTATTCTATTTTCAATATCCATGTATCCTATACTATGTGTTATAACTGATCCACAGACTAAGGTCTTTGAAGTGTTTAGTATTTACTAATTCCACTTACTGAATTTTTTTTATGAATTCAGGGAACATGTCCTTCCAATTCTAGATCATAATATCTGTTTCAAAAAAATATCACGAGTATTATTTCTTGGAATACCAGGTAGAGGATGTTGATTCTTTGTTTAAGAGCATTCTTATACTGTCGTGGCCTTCTTAGGGCCAGAAATAAACCCCCAAGAGAGGAAATGTTAAAAAAATATATTAACAGAAAACAGTAACGCATATATATACGAATGAGAGTGTTACAGCAAGAATGTTCGACCCGACTGTCAGACCTGCTCCTATTTATAGATGGAAGAGTTTATGCGTGCCTGGGTAAATTACCATAACATATACCAAGAAACCTGAGAAAAGTGTATATCTTCCATTCAGTCTGTGATGCAGCGATGGAACCTGAAGAATTACTGCTAAACCACAAGAAGTCTGAGAACGCAACAGAATTCATAGAGATGTACAGTGGAACGAGAGAAAAAATCTCTCGATGTAGAAAGGACATAAAGGAATCAGTTCGAAACTTCGTGAAAAACATTCGAGTGCCACCTGAATTTTTTTTAGAGAGAACAACAAGTGAAATGATGTGATAATATAAAAGAGATGAGGATATTAGTCCGATTATAAACAATGTAAATAGCGGTAACTCTTCATCTTGCCTTTGTTATTATACAGCACAGGTTTAATTTTGACGTCCCCGATGTGTATTTCAGATATTTTACTGCCCCTTTTCCTCACTACAATGGATTCTGCCTTTTAGCAGTATACCGCGTGTAACAGCAAAATTGTCCAAATCCTGTAACAGGATAATTGCCCAATTCATTGATTAAGCTTACAAATGATTAAAGATATCTTACTGGAATTTGGATTTTACTTTGAACAATAAGGATGTATTTAGCTCTAAGTTGAAATGATGATCCTTCTTCTTCTTGTGACCTTCTGACCCAGTTTTCCTCTCTACTGGACCCTCTTATTCACCATCATCTTGATGGTTCTGGAATGGATTTTGAAGATGGAAGCCAGAGTATAAATGTTGGTATCATTACTGAAGGCCTGAATGATCTATTTTTATCCCCCCCATTGCTCATTTCGGCTGACAGTGAGTCTGACGCAAACGATTTAAACCTGTTCTCTTTCTAGCTGAATAACTCAAAAGACTTTCATTTTTTTTCTTACAGTACAGGATGATATCATGTTGGCTGAACGTCTTATCTGAAAACCTGGAAAAAAGTGTTTTTTTAGTGGCTTTTTAGATATTAAACATTTTTGGAGATGGACAGTTATGCTGTTACACGATTTGGACATTTTTTCTTTTACACCCGATATCCTCAAAAACTATTAGTGACCGAATTCTACTTAATAAACAAAATGAATAAATGCTGGCTTGTAATCACTGAAGGCAATTTCTCTTAAAATATTTTAATTCTGGATAAATATATTATCCAAATATCACACGCACTTCCTATATTTTAGGTTAGGTATTGATTACCTCCCTTTTAAACATTTTAACGTCTATTATTGCTTAAGGAGATAGCCACCATTCCTCTTTAAGCTTTTTTTTGCAATAACCCCCAACCCACACCCTGCATTCTGTATTTACACCCAATATTATATTAAGTTTATATTAAATTTGAGCTTTTTAGACCAATTGCCTTCCAAGGCTATAGAACCCGGTCTGTCCTGCTAATTACCCATCGAAGAAACATCCTGTATTTAGTAATACCATTTGGTATATTATGGCATCAATATATATATATATATATATATATATATATATATATATATGTGTTTGTCTGATGGATACATCACAGAATAGTCAAGCATTCATGTCTAATGTTCTTTTTTATTCCTTAATACTTTATCCAGTTTCTGAAACGTATTTTTCGCTATTTCTATCTACTTTAAAAAGTCCTTAGCTTAAAAAGCCTTCGAAGAAACATTCTGTATTTAGTAATAATACCCTGGTTGGTAGATATTGGCATCTCACTCACACCCTTTCACTGTCGAAACTGCTAAATTTAGCCGTCTCTTCTACTCCAATAGCTTCATGTTTCGCACCTCTCTCCTGTGGAATTCCATCCCCTCAGAGGTGACAGTTTCAAATGCGAGATATATCTTTGTCGTACCTCGTAGAAAAGCTGAAAATATGCTTTATCCTAACAGCTCCGTTACCCTTAGAGTCTATGTCATCAATTTTTAAATTTCCTTTTTGTTGTTTTTGTTTTATAAAGCTTATCTGTATACTACTTGTCACCATCTACACGTGAGATTTCGATGGAATAAATAATGATTCCCAATCAATTGCTAGCTCTGCTAGTCGGTTCACTGTCTCGTACTATAGACACTTTTCTCGGTTTCTCGTTTGACGCCATTTTGAAAATTTATAAATCTATCATTCTGGCTGGGGTCCCCAAATTTATATCTTGAGATTCTCGACAAAATCCAAAGAATGGTCCACAATATAATCGGTCCCGACCTGGCATCTCGTTTTTAGTCATATTCCAATCGCTGCTACATGGCTTCTC